CACTTCACTATTCTACATAATACAATAAAATTATAATTTATCTTATCAGCATCAATATTAAATTGACACTGTAGGCCAGGGGTCCTCAAACTATGGCCCACAGGCCAGATCAGGCCCACCAGGGTCCTGAACCTGGCCCGAAATTGCAGAACCCGCCACTGTCTTGCCACAATAGCAGGGCCGGACTGGCCTACCTGGATACCGGGAAATTTCCTGGAAGGCCACCGGCCCTGCGGCCGCTTTGTGATGTGGCTGCACTCAGCCACAAGACAGAAATTATTTTTTTATCCTGTTAGTCCTTCTGCGGCTTATGATCACAAGAGTTCAAAGATTATTCCTACGCCAGCCACCGGATGTGAGAGGCATATGACGAAATTACGTCATATCCGGCGGCTACACGGCGGCGGTGGCATCCCTTCCCTCCAACTGAGCTGAGCTGCACTGTCTGCATCATGAAGTACAGATGAACGACCTATTGTTGGGTGCATTAGGGGGAGGGGGATCAGCAGTGTATTTAATAGGATTCTGCAAAGTGGAATGTTTTCCAGAAACCACAAGCCATATGAATGAACGGCCCATTCCCTGCACAGCACATATTTAATACCCACCCCTCACTATTAGATTCAAGGCTTTGCCAGATGCGACAAAATCTGTGCGGTTCGTACTGCCAGTTCCCAGGGGGATGATTATCAGCTCAGTCTTCTCAGCTCTAAACTGAAATTACTATGGTCAATTTAATAGTATTGTCATACGTGGGCCACCTCTCACCTACACCTGTGATAAGTGTCTGCTAGTGAAAGAGCTTGAGTGTGTGTTTGCCTGCTAGTGAGTGAACTTGTGTGTGTGTGTGCCTGCTAGTGAGTGAGCTTGTGCGTTACCGTTGAACGCTGACCATTTGCGTTACTGCTGAGCACTGACCATTTGCACTATTGCTAAGCGCTGTTTTTTTATTTTAGTTTAGTCATTATTGCTGGTATATTGTTTTTGTAGCTCTGTATTTATTGGTATTTTACTAATAGCAGTTTTAAATCGCTAGGAAATCATTATGTAAAAAAGAAAAGAAAAATGGAGTGCAGGGTATTCAAAGAACGGTGGACTTACGGTTACTTTTTCACGCAGTACAAAGAAAGAGCCGTTTGTCTGATATGCCAGAATTTAGTGTCTGTGTTCAAGGAATACAATTTGCGTCGACACTATGAAACTCAACATAAAGACAAATATGATTGTTTGGTCGGACAAGTGAGAAAAGATAAAATATTAAAACTGAAAAATGGATTGACAACTAAGCAAAATACTTTTGTGAAGCTAAAGCAGCTAAATATATTCATCACCACTGGTGTGCATATGGAGCGCTTACAAATTTGTTGACTCACCCATATGGGTTAACATACATATGTATGGAAAACGTGACTCATAGCAATATATCTGAAACAAATGTAAATGCAAGAAATAGTGCAGATAACGTTTTCAATAAGTGCAGTGAGGGAATATTCTATATGGTCTCACTCACATGTAGCAGAGCCCTATAGGATAGGCTCAGATCTCAATGGCCTGCGTGTGCTTATGGTGACACAGTACCCAATCGGTCCTCTAGGCGTCTGGAGATCCTTATGCATACATGAGAGAGAGAGAGAGAGAGAACAAGGGGAAGAGGAGAACCCCTAGTGCGGTCAATCCCAATGTACAATGTCAAATAATGCAGAAAAAGTGGCTTCTCACCTAATGTGGAGCCCTATACCTGGCTCCTGGTGTGTAGGTGTCTGTGCCTTTAAGGGGGCAACTACCCTTCTTTAAGCAGCAACAATGGAGGGTGGATTCCAAATATAAAACAAAATTTATTAAATAAAGTAGTAAAAACTTACAAGTAAAATATAAACAAAATTGTGAGAAATTATAAAATGTGGAATCTTCAATCCTCCAGCCGAAACATGTTTCACTGTACCCAGACAGCTTTTTCAATCGGTAATATAGTTGCTGCTGTTACTTGTTTAAATACTTTGTACTTCCTCCTGTGTGGTCCTTCAAACTTCCCTCCCTCCAATCCGCTGGCGTCCTTTTTCATGAACAGCTGTACTGTGTTAGTAATGAGAATGCTCCGGTCTCGGAACAAGTCATGTGACCCGAAGCATCACGTGCCGCATCACAAATTGGGCGTGTTTTCAATGTAGGGCTCACAGTTCCATATCGTCCATTTTTAAGTTGGGCAAAATGCCCTTCCTTCAACCAAGTCCATTCCTATTTACAAGCCAGATGCTCAATTTGAGCGATATATAAACGAAAAACACTCAACACAAAGAGGAGGATTTTTGTGGAGACTACATGAAGGGCAGGTACAAGGACAACAGACTAGGCTGGGGAACCCCAGGAAAAAGAGGACGGAGTATAGAGGATGGGGAACTAGAGGAGGAATTCTTTTACAAAAAAGGAAAAAAAGTCAGAGAATAAAGGGAAAAGGTATTTTAATTTATCATCAAAAACACTTACTAATCCCCAAATAAATCTACTTGAGAAGGGACTTAAATTTGCGCCCACTAAAGCACTTGATAAGTTCAGTATCTATGTAGATCTTAACAGATTCAAAAGGAAAATGTGTTTGAAAAAATTCTTCCTAAAAAATCCAATCACTAGGCCAGAAGTACCCATAGAAAGGTCGGAGGCTGTGCACACTGAACTTAAAGCAAAATCTTCATTCTATCCTAGGTTCTGTATCTCAGAAGAGATGTCAACCTTTGAAAAGATGGTGATGAAGGATATAGAAAAGATTAAAAAAACAAATCAAAAAAATTCAACCTTAATTATGGGGAAAGACAGGCATTGAAGGAATTAAGGCAGGACGATTCATTGGTAATTAAACCAGCAGATAAGGGTGGGGGTATAGTCATTTTGGACAGCGAAGACTATGTAAAAGAAGCCCTTAGACTCTTAGGAGACGACAAGACATATAGAATCTTGACGAAAGATCCAACTAGCGATATAAAAATCACATATGACACTCTCATAGAAGAGGGAAAAGAACGGAACATTCTAAATGAAAAAGAGTATGCGTTTCTAAACATGACACAACCTATAATACCGGTCTTTTACCACCTCCCCAAAATCCATAAAGATAGGATAAAACCTCCAGGGAGACCTATTGTATCTGGGATTGGGTCAATTTCCAGCAGACTATCCCAGTACGTAGATAGGTGTCTCCAACCAGTGGTTACCAAATGTCCTAGTTACCTGAAGGACACCTCCAATATCCTCCAAGTTTTAACAGATCATAAGTGGAAGGAAAATAGCTTTTTGGTGACAGCTGACGTTAGTTCACTGTACACCATTATTTTTCACGATAAAGGGTGTCAAGCGACAGAACATTTTTTACAGCAGTCAGGAACATTTCCAAGTGGACAAATTGATTTTTTAGTTAAAAGTATCAGATGGATACTGAATAACAATTATTTTTGGTTTAACGATCTTTTCTACTTACAGATATGTGGAACTACGATGGGCACGAGGTTCGCGCCAAGCTATGCAAATTTATTCATGGCTTTGTGGGAACAAGAATTTATTTACCAAGATGGTAGTTGGAGCGCGAACCTCGTTGCCTATCGCCGTTACATAGACGACATATTTTTCATTTGGCAAGGGGATGAGACATCCCTGATATCTTTTTTGGACCATCTGAATAATAACGATTGGGGAATTAAATTAGTCTCGAATTATAGCAAGATTCTAGTGGAATTTCTGGACCTCTAAATTTATGTTGAGGATGCATGTTTGAAGACATGTACTTTTTTCAAACCTGTGGATGTTAACAGCTACATTGGGGAGAATAGCTGCCATTTCTCCCCATGGTTGCTGAATGCACCCAAAGCGCAACTGCTCAGGATAAGGAGGAATTGCACGGAGGAATGTAAGTTCCAAGAACAATCCCACAAAATTCTGAAAGATTTTAGAGAGAAGGGATATAACGAGACATTGTTGGGGAAAGCCCTTGAAGAAGTCAAAATAAAGGACAGAAAAGATCTAATTAAATATAACACTAAAAATAAAGTTGAACCACAAACAATAGGACTTATATGTGACTTTAACTGTAAAAGTAAAGAATTTAGAAAAATAGTCTCAAAGTATTGGCCAATTTTAAGAAATGACCCCCTCCTTAATAATATTCTTCCGGAGAAGCCTAAGATTGTTTATAGAGGAGTAAAGAATTTAAGAAACACTTTAACATCTAACCATATACCCCTAAAAAGATGTAATAGGGACTTTTTCAATGAAACAAAAGGGTTTTATGGTTGTGGACACTGTGGTGCGTGCAAGAACTCAAAAAGTAAGAAGAGACTAGTAAAAGAATTCTCACACCCTCAAAATAAAAAGTAAGATCAACGAGCTAATTACTTGTCAGTCCACGAGAGTTATTTATCTCTTGATATGCCCATGTGGACTTGTATATGTAGGGCGCACCAAAAGAAAGTTGCACATTAGAGTACAGGAACACATTAGGAATATTAGGAACAACTATGAAAAGCACAGTGTCTCCTTACATTTTAAAAATAAACATAATAGCGATCCCACCCTGTTAGAATTCCATGCAATTCAGAGGGTATCACCCGATTGGAGAGGGGGAGATTTTATTAAAAAATTAGGCCAAAGGGAGATGCAATGGATTTTTAACCTGAATACCATGCAGCCTAATGGTCTCAATGATGATTTTGGGTTATGCCATTTTTTAACTTAAATTATTTTTTTATTAGTATGTTTCATACATTTTAAATATTTTCTCTATGGCCATACCAGTCTGAAAATGCCTGATCTTGTCAGATCTCAGAAGTCATCCAGGCTTAGGCCTGGTTAGTACTTGTATGGGAGACCAGCTAGGAACCTACTATATATTTATATGTTTTTTATATATATATTTTAATATTGATATCATCATTGAAGATAAGCTGCTGACACAATGGAGACCTATTCAATAATAATCAGCATTTCTCCTAAAAGAGCACACTCCTATTCACCACCTGTCTTTATGCATGTACTGTCACTTTGAATGAAAAACACTAGATGTTTTTATTTTTTGATATGTAAATTTTATGAATTAACTTGTAAGCAATATACAATAATACTATCCCCCTTTCTCCCTTCATTTTTTCGTTTATATATCGCTCAAATTGAGCATCTGGCTTGTAAATAGGAATGGACTTGGTTGAAGGAAGGGCATTTTGCCCAACTTAAAAATGGACGATATGGAACTGTGAGCCCTACATTGAAAACACGCCCAATTTGTGATGCGGCACGTGATGCTTCGGGTCACATGACTTGTTCCGAGACCGGAGCATTCTCATTACTAACACAGTACAGCTGTTCATGAAAAAGGACGCCAGCGGATTGGAGGGAGGGAAGTTTGAAGGACCACACAGGAGGAAGTACAAAGTATTTAAACAAGTAACAGCAGCAACTATATTACCGATTGAAAAAGCTGTCTGGGTACAGTGAAACATGTTTCGGCTGGAGGATTGAAGATTCCACATTTTATAATTTCTCACAATTTTGTTTATATTTTACTTGTAAGTTTTTACTACTTTATTTAATAAATTTTGTTTTATATTTGGAATCCACCCTCCATTGTTGCTGCTTAAAGAAGGGTAGTTGCCCCCTTAAAGGCACAGACACCTACACACCAGGAGCCAGGTATAGGGCTCCACATTAGGTGAGAAGCCACTTTTTCTGCATTATTTGACATTGTACATTGGGATTGACCGCACTAGGGGTTCTCCTCTTCCCCTTGTTCTCTCTCTCTCTCTCTCTCATGTATGCATAAGGATCTCCAGACGCCTAGAGGACCGATTGGGTACTGTGTCACCATAAGCACACGCAGGCCATTGAGATCTGAGCCTATCCTATAGGGCTCTGCTACATGTGAGTGAGACCATATAGAATATTCCCTCACTGCACTTATTGAAAACGTTATCTGCACTATTTCTTGCATTTACATTTGTTTCAGATATATTGCTATGAGTCACGTTTTCCATACATATGTATGTTAACCCATATGGGTGAGTCAACAAATTTGTAAGCGCTCCATATGCACACCAGTGGTGGTTTTTATCATTAATTTCCAATACTGAGTGTACACCTAATCTTTTTTGTACTAATCTATAGGGTAGAGAGTCCCTATTTGTGTGGTAGCTGCTGTCATTCTATTCAATTATTAACTGAAAGCGCCTTGAAAACACACAAATTCTTATTTCTGTAAATATATTCATCATTGCGAGCAAGTTTTCAAGTTGCCAAGCACATATCGCGCACTGGCAGACCATTCGTAGAGGGAGAATTTGAGAAGGCTGATTTATTTAGTACAGTGAGTCTTTCAGGACCTACAATTACATGAAGGATTGAAGAAATGGGGGAAAATTGTCATCTGCATTTGCAAAACTCCTCAAAAAAAGTTGCTATTTTTCATTGGCACTCGACGAAAGCAATGATGTTCGTGATTCTGCACAACTTCTAATTTTAATTTGTGGGACAAATGATTATTTCGAAGTCACAGAGGAGCTTGCTGCACTGAAAAGCATCAAAGGAACTATAAGATAGGATATCTATGAAAAGTTTTGCCAAACTGTGAATGATTTGGAGCTGGATTGGGCTAAACTAGCCAGTGTGACAACTGATGGTGCTCCTAGCATGGTGGGGTCTATGAAAGGAGTTGTTGCATGCATTAACAAAGAGATGGATAAACACAACCATTCTTCACATCCAATAAGCATACACTGCCTCATCCACCAACAAGCACTGTGTTATAAATCACTGAAGTGGTCATGAAAATTGTGGTATCTTGTGTTAACTTCATTAGAGCACTAAACCACAGACAGTTTCAGGAATTCCTGTCTGAGCTAAATGTTGCCTATGAAGATATTTTGTACCACACAGAAGTCCGGTGGCTGAGACGAGGGAGAGTTTTTAAACAATTTTATGACTTGCTTCCACAAGTTTCTGCTTTCGAAAAACAAAGAAGTACCAGAGCTCAAAGATGCAGAATGGAAATGGCACCTTGCCTTTCTGACAGATCTAATAGAGCTACTCAACAGTTTCAATGTTCAACTTCAAGGAAAGGGGAAGCTCATCTGTTATATACATTCACATGTGAAAGCATTTCAATTTAAATTAGACCTCCTCATTAAACAAGTGAAGGAGGAAAACTTCTGCTATCTGCCCACAACTCAAAACCTCTTGGCGGAAGAACCAGCAGTTGCATTCCCAAACAAAACATGTGTGGATTTACTAGAAATGTTGCAAAAAGAGTTTCAAAATAGATTTAAAGAGCTTCATCTCCATGAAGGACATACAGCTTTTCCGGAACCCATTTTCTGTTGACATTGAAATTGTTGATCCGATTTACCAAATGGAATTGGCCGAACTACAGAATTGTAACTTTCTGAAAGAAGCATTCAAATTAAGCAGCCTTACTAATTTCTATGCATCTCTCCCCTCTGAGACATATCTTAATCTCAGGAACCATGCACTTAAAATTGCAACCATCTTTTGCAGCACCTATGTCTGTGAACAGACTTTTTCCCGAATGAAACATCTGAAATCTCCAACCAGATCCAGACTAACTGATGAACACTTGCATCACTTGCTACGACTAGCAGTGACAAATATGGAACCAAATATTGACCATCTCATTAGCCAAAAGCAGGCCCATACTTCCCATTGAAATATTATAAGTTTATGTTGATTAAAATGGTTCTTCATTTTAAATATTGCATTGTTTTTCCTGTTTTTTGTGCACTACAAATAAAATATGTGCAGTGTGCATAGGAATTCGTTGATATTTTTTTTAAACTATAGTCCGGCCCCCAACAGTGTCTGAGGGACAGTGAAAAGTTTGAGGACCCCTGCTGTAGACACTATAACCAGTTCGTCTCATTGAGTTGGTTAAAAAAACAACAACCTTAATTCACTGTTAAAGCATTTTTTGAGCCGTTTAGTACTGAATAAGGGTCACTTGGCCCCTAGTGTTGGTGTGTCTAAGGCAGAGATTACACACTTCCTTCTAGCCTTACCAATTCATACCAGCAATGGGCTCTGTTATAGGCTGAAAGCAGTAGCTGAGCACCACCTTTGCTGCTTAGGCTAATACTTACTCATTAGACTAAGCAGCACAGATGCTGCTGAGGACCTATTGTTGCAAATTAAAACATTAACATCTGTTTAATGCTGAGTGGAAGGATGGTGCCAGTGGACTCCAGACCACATAACTACTTCAATGAGATGAAATTGACAGTGGCCTTTTACTACAAATACCTATAATTTTCTGATGCCCAGCTATACAGTTGTGCTCAAAAGTATGCATACCCTTGGAGAATTGGTAATATATGTATTATTTCTAAAGAAAGCATGAGTGAGCAGGCAAAACACATTGCTTTTATTTCTTATGGGATTCATATTCAACTGTAGGTTATAAGAAAATGGCACAATGGCAACAAAGAAAAAAATGAAATGACCCCAGTTCAAACGTCCGCATACCCTTAGTTCTTAATACTGTGTATTGCCCCCTTTAGCCTCAATTACAGTGTGCTGTCTTTTGTAATAGTTGTCTATGAGACCCCTAATTCTTGCAGGTGGTATAGCTGCCCATTAGTCTTGGCAAAATGCCTCCAAATCATGCAAAGTCTTTGGTCGTCTTGCATGAACTCCACATTTGAGATCTTCCCAGAGTGACTCGATGATGTTAAGGTCAGGAGACTGTGATGGCCACTTCAGAACCTTCACCTTTTTCTGATGTAACCACTATAGGGTCAACTTGGCCTTGTGCTTAGGGTCATTGTCATGCTGGAAAGTCCAAGACCATCCCATGCGCAGCCTTCGTTCAGAAGAATGCAAATTGTCTGCCAGTATTTTCTGATAACATGCAGCATTCATTTTGTCATCAATTTTCACAAGATTCCCCGTGCCTTTCAAACTCACACGCTCCCAAATCATCAGAGAGGTGGAGATGGTATTCTTTTCACTATAGGCCTTGTTGATCCCTCTCCAAACATAGCGCTTATGATTGTGACCATAAAGCTCTATTTTGGTCTCATCAATCCAAATTACAGTGTGCCAGAAGCTGTGAGGCGTGTCAAGGTGTTGTCGGGCATATTGTAACCTGGCTTTTTTGTGGCATTGGTGCAGTAAAGGCTTCTTTCTGGTAACTCGACCATGCAACTCATTTTTGTTCTAGTATCAGTGTATTGTGCTGCTTGAAACAACCACACCGTCTTTTTCCAGAGCAGCCTGTATTTCTCCTGAGGTTACCTGTGGGTTTTTCTTTGTATCCCAAACAATTTTTCTGGCAGTTGTGGCTGAAATTATTCTTGGTCTACCTGTCCTTGGCTTGGTATCAAGAGATCCCCAGAATTTTCCACTTCTTAATAAGTGATTGAACAGTGCAGACTGGCAAGTTCAAGGCTTCGGATATCATTTTATATCCTTTTCTATCTTTATAAAGTTCCATTGCATTGTTATGCAGCTCTTTTGACAGTTCTTTTCTGCTCACCATGGCTCAGTATCTAGCCTGCTCAATGCATCCACGTGAGAGCTAACAAACTCATTGACTATTTATACACGGACACTAATTGCAATTTACAAAAGCCACAGGTGTGGAAAATTAACCTTTAATTGCCATTTTAACCTGTGTGTGTAGGCCCAACATTCAAGAGTATGTAAACTTTTGATCAGGGCTATTTGGGTGATTTCTGTTATCATTATGATTTAAAAAGGAGCCAAACAACTATGTAATAAATAAATGGCTTCATATGACCACTATCCTTCAATAAAACACATTGTTTTTGCATGACCAGTCATATATTCAAAATCAATGCTAAAATGTCACAATTTCTGCCAGGGTATGCAAACTTTTGAGCACAACTGTAGGTGAGAACCTGCTTATTGCCTTAGGGCCATTCAAATTGGATTGGCATTAATAATAATTAATAATTGGCATTATTATATGTTAGGCCTGTTTTCATAAAATATATTCCTACTAATTGATGCATCCAGACTATATATGTACATCAAGCATGTCAAACTTAAAGGCTAGCACAGGCCAAATAAGTAAGGTTTAAGTTTATGTGGGCCACAAAAATATATATGTATTTTTTTTTTCATAGAAACGTATGTTTATTTTGAAAAGTACAGTATTAAAAAAATCCAGCATCCTCTTCTTCTAAGCACCAGCACCCTCCTCTACTAAACCCCAGCCCCCCTCTACTAAA